GTTTACATAAATTTTCTCCCAATTGGAGATTGAGCTCTTCCTCATCTTACACATGGGATTTAGTTGTCACTCAATGGTAACAGCTGTGAAAAGGTGAAGCGGCCCACCGCTCAGAATATTGCCTTCGCTTTTAAAGCAATTAACCCATGAACAGGAGGATACCTGGCGATATCAAAGGGATTAGGCCAGCCCGTGCATTACTACCATTTCCTTGAGCTAATTCTAACTCTGACTAGCTGTCAGAAAAGACTCTACAGTCTTAAAAGAGTTTTGCCCTGCTTTTTTCCCTTCAAAATGAAGCGCTGCTATTTGAGCCTAATATGTCCCTCTACTTATAAGAAAATGCAAATGAACCAAGCTTTTAATATGCTTAACCAGTTTGAGTCAATGCAATTTTAATACAGCACGGGGAAATATATGATCAATTAACCAGGGATCAAGACAGATATTCTCCTGAATGAAAATTAATGCTGCAGTACTTCCCATTCTTCTCCAACTACAAAAACTTGGTGACTATTTGTTACTTATGCATAGTTACTTCTGAAATTAGCAAGAGCTTCACATTATTCTCTACGGCAATAATCTAAAATACTCTTTGAGCTCCAAATCCAAATGTCCCTTAAGCAGGAGATTCTGCATTCTCTAAGGTATGGCATTTTAATTTTCTCTTCTTTACTGAGTGGAATCCTAAGGGAAGCTGTAAGAATAGCAGGCACAGGTCCAGAATCACATACTTGCTTTCCAAAACTATCATCAAATTAATTTTTCACAGCAACATAAGGTTTAGAAACGTCTAACATTAAAAATGACCAAGGCCTGTGCATGATATAATCTTCCAGAAATATTTAAATATAGCTGAAATTGCTACTTTTTTGTAGTACACAGGCATAATTTCAATATACTTTTAATTATTCATATTCATATATTCTAGGGAAACGACTCGACCTTAAGAGATAGAGTTTATTACTATACAATGTTAGTGGGATTAGTGTTTTTATACAAGCTTCCAGAAATACTGCCTTTTAGGAAAAAAAAATCTGAAAAACCGCTTATTAAATGGCGAGTGACTTTATCTTGTAAAAAGTACACTAATTCTGATTATAAAAACTAAAGAGTTTACTTTAAAAAAAAAAAAAAAGAGTTTACTTTCAATTCACAAATGTTCAACAAACTTTTTTTTTTTAGGTTGAACCTGGGCCTTTGCGCTGAGCTATATCCTCAGCCCTTCTGTGTATTTTTTTAGTTTGATTCAGAGTCTCAGTTGCTAACCTGCCTGGTGTGGGCTCAAACTTGCTGCCCTTCTGCTTCAGTCTTTCCACAGTTCCACTTGGCCACTAACAGTGTGAAAAGGACACATCGACTCTCAAGCCTGTCAGGACTCCAATCCTTGTCCTGTAACTACCAAAAGAATTAAGATGTGCTGTTGCCTGCAATCCTCAGAATCCTCAGCAGGTGCACCTGTCCCTGCAGAAAGTGCCATCGTGCAGTGCATCAGGATGGCCCTTCTCTTCTAGCGACACTAGGACACACAAAAGGCAGGCACAGAGATGCTGGAGCGGTGACTTCAGCGCTCCTCCCTGTCTACTGCACAGGACACCTTTCTATGTTTTCCAGAAAATAATTCTGAGATTCAAGAATTTGGCAAAGTTAAATGGTGCTCATATTTGTGATTTATGTCACTTCTAACTTTTTAATTTTATACTAATAGGATTTGTGAAATTTAAATAGAGTAAGACATTCTAAATATACTATTAAATTTAAAAATCATTTACTTCAAGGGTATTTAAATAGAAAATCCTAGTTCCCATAAATCCCTAACTTCATTATATAGCTTAAATACATAGATGTATACCTGAAATAAATGAGTATTACTTCATAAGAAGGAAATACATTAAACTCCTCTAACATAATGTATGCTTAAAAATGCCCGTGAAGAGGACATACCATAAATAAAAACAGAAACTGCCACAATCTTACTATTTTTAATGCAATAAACTACAATGACACAGCTTTCACTCTGCCGTTTTACTCATATGCTTTCCACATTACAGGAAAGCACACAGAAATGAGTTCTTCCCAACCATTACAAAAGATTGACAAAAAAATGCAGTGTTAATGACATCTTACGGCTTTTAAAAGGAAGAGAAAGATGCAAGAAAGGCAAAAATTACATAGTAATTGGAAACAACGAATAAATCGTTCTTTCAACCTAAGCCATGTTTACTGGGAAAAAATGGGGCTTTCAACATCAACACATTTAAACAGAAATTTGCTTCTGAAATACAATCTTTGTTTAAAAGGTATAGAAGGTCTTTATGTCCACCCCAAGAGCTAAATATAGTGAATGCTATGTGAACAATTACCTGAAAAAATCCCTAAACCTGTTAAAAGAATTAATTCCCTGCACACCAGTCAGCACTAATCCCACGTGTACAGTAATGTTCTCTTAAGTGACGGGGAAAAGAAAGGATAAAGCTGTTTCCCAGATCAAGCCCTCCAATATTCAGCAGGAAGGAACGATGATTTGGTCTCCAAATGACAGAAGTAGGGAGCGAGCTCCTACACAGATTCTGGTGAAGGAGTCAACCTGGGCAGGAACACATTCACTGTGCGTGAGGACTGAGAGGAAGCCCGCGCTGCAGTGACTGTGCAAACTGTCTTGCTGTTGGGTTTATGTGCGCAGGAGAAAGGTTTCCGAGGTTAAGTTCGGGTCGTACAACAAATGAAATTGTGACAAGCCAGCTGACACTGTATAATGTCTTCTTCCACTCAATCAATAGGCTACTGCTAGCCCTATTATCATAGAGATGGCTTCTGCCTTCGGAAGGGTGTCTATTGTTTGACAGAACAGATCTGCCACTTGAACTAGGTTGTTCCCCAAGGACATGTACCTTGTCAATTATTTGTATTCAAAATAATGAAGTATTTTCAAATTAAAATGTGTGGGAGAGATGATATTGTTAGGTTTCTTTTTGGAAAGAAAGCAACTTTGCCGAAGTGGTAGCAAGCCACCCAAATACCCATTTAGGAGTATTAGAATTTTGACTTAGAACATATGTCAGCAAGTATAAAATGTATCATTAATGCTGTATATTAGAAGAAAAGGGTCCAGGCTAGTGTACTTACCTAAAAGTAAAAGAATCGGCATGATAATAAAGCCTAATTTTAGATGTGGACAACTCAAAAGAAAATCACTGTCCAAAGCTGTTTAGATTCGGAAAAGATTTCTGTATGCATATGTGTTGCAGTGGCTCTCACGGGGCACGGCATCAACAATACGTCAACAAACATAAGAAGTTTCAGAAAATGCATCACTTCATTTGCCTAAAGGCACTTATATCTATGTAACATTTAAATGCATGCATATGCTACACAAAACAGCTAAAAAACAGATAAATACTAAAATAGGTAGTAAGTCTTACACTGTCTTGTAAAAATGAACAATTTATACATTCAATATAGAACAAATTAAGTTCCAAATTTCAATATACATATTTATAGATCAGTATCTGTTGACGGAAATACTGATAATTCTTAAATATAAAAGACTCACAAGAGGGGCTGGGAAATGGTTCAGTAGAATAAGTGCTTCCCTGGGCTGGTGAGATGGCTCAGTGGTCTAAAGCACCTACTTAGAACAAGCTTAGCAGAGCACAGGGACCCTGGTTCGATCCCCCAGCACCACATGCCAGCCAGCCCCGCCCCCTGGTGGGCTGAGCTGGCCACACACACACACACACACACACACACACATAAATAAAAAAAAAAAAAAAAAAAAAAAAAAAAAGAATAAGTGCTTCCCTGGCAAGTACAAGTGCCTGAGTTCAATCCCCGGTTCCCCCCCCCACCCAAAAAAAAAGAAAAAAGAAAAAAAGAAAGACTCACAAGAAATAATTCTAATCAAAATTATTCTAATCACTTAGAAAGAGTATATATGCATAACACTAATTAACCCAGAGATGTTATTTTCAGTCTTTCATTAAGATTTGGTTTTGCTGAAAACATGTAAGATTAAATAAAACTACACAGATAAAAATGTAGTAAATGATCAACAATTAGAATACTTGAATCTGAAAGTTCTCTGCAAATAGATTTAAATGTAAATTTTAGAGCTGAAATTATGTTAACTTTGACTTTCTTATAAGTAGCTAAAAGGGAATTTGGAAAGAATATAGCAGAATGGCTATTACATTATAAATACTAGTCTCCAAAAGATAACATTTGAAACATCTAGTACATTATACTATATTTACATACAAAAAGTATTTTTTTTTTTAAACTCACAAAAGAACAAAAGTTTTTGACAGAAGTGCTGCATTTTTCCCTTTTCACCAAGCATAACTTGTGTTTTTCATTATCATCCTCTTGGGCGCTAGTCAGACCAAGTTAAGAATAAAGGACACAAAAACATCAAAGACAAATGAGCTAACCAATACCCTAAACTATCCTGACCTAATTTTTAAGAGCAGAGCAGCTCTGGCACTAAGAAAGCTTTCCCTAGTGAAGTAAGTGGGCCTGATTTGCCAGCCTTCCCCAGGGCTATCACAGAAGAAAGTAAAACCTTAATACACCACATCCCAAATGTCATTTTCTTGGCCAACAACTTCATTTCAAAAAGTACACAACACATTCACATTGAGAGTATTCAGAATGTAACACAGGCCAGTTTGATGGGCCACTGCCCGTCAGCAGTGTTGTGAGTAATTAAATGATATTTACCATTTACCCAACGATGATCTTCATACTGTTGGATTAAACTGGCCCATCTGCATCTTGCTAACATGACAAACCTCATTAGTTCTGCCTAACCAGAGAGCCTTCGCTCCACTGCATGAAGCAGAACAAACTGTGCAATCACGTGCGGGCCCGCATGTACACAGAACGACTGCATATCCACAAGGTGGACTCACAGGCCTCAGGGAACCCCGTGGCTGCAGTTGGCCATAACGAACCACATCTGCAGTTACTCAAAATTAATTTTAACTCCTCAACTACTGTACCTGAAAACGGTGAAAAATAGTAACGCTGCAGCCACTGCTCCAAATAAGCCACAGAGGAGATTGACGCGGTAGGCAAGCGTCCCAAAAGGCAACAGTGTCATTGCCAGCTTAGCCACTAGTGTGAACAAAGGGTAGCCAGGAGGATGGGCAACCTACGGAAAATCAGCAAGTTAGAAGGTCTGTAGTGACACCGGCTTGAATCCAAAACTAGCTCTCGTCTCAGGCATGTCAAAAGCACCAACGACAGCCTGTGTGAAGGGTGGCTCCCTACAGTGGTGCAAAGACACATACAAACAAATATTTTCCTTAGCGGATTCACCAGTGTCTACTGTGTGGGTACATCACCTCCAGAAAGGGCGACATATTTGCCTGTCAGGTGACCAGCAGTTTGTTCTCTGGGTTCCCAGTAGCAGGGTCATTTAAAAGACGACTGAAGAAGAGCAGGTTCTGCAATATCGTCTAGGCTAGAAAGTGGAAAGGACCACAGTGCTATCGGATTACCACCACGCTGACAGTCCTAAGGTCTTGCCTAAAGGGATCATGCACTATAATAAAGTTTATTAAATAATAAACTTATTAAGACTGTTAACCCGATTTATTTTATTCTCCACAGCTTAAACAAAATTTGGGGTGATAATAGGCCAGCTACCGTATATATAGTAGAGGCTTTGCTTTACAATTGAGTTTAATTGGATTTAAAACTTAAAGTAAATTGTCACATACTGTACTTATAAGTTACTAAAAACTAGGGTTTGAAAATAAATTAATCTACTTTATTCCATGCTTAATTAAACTTTCTTAATTCCTAACACTGTTAATGAGAGCATTGATTAAACAATAAAACTAATACTTACTCCAAGCTCGTGTGCGGCTGTGATCAGCTCCCCTGTGAAAAAATAATGTAAAACCAATAATTACTATTACAGAACGACACTCCTCCCAAGTTTCCAAAATCCAAATGCTTGCATGGGGGTTTTGCATTAATTTGACTGGATCAAACTAAATCTGCAGAGATTTAGCAGCGTGAAATAGTCTAAGAATACTTTCCCTTTAGGTCTCATTGAACGAACTATCTTTGATCGTTTTTAAATAACTGGTCAGCGGAAACACATATGAACTTTGGTTTTAAAAAATGCGTATTTTCCCTCCAAGAGTCATCTTTCCTTGCTCGTGTGGGAACACCTTCACGCAGCATTAGAGCAACGTTCTGGGCTCTCCCACAAAGTTATCCCGAGCTATGAATAAGCAACCTTAGGACACCCAACAAGAGGGCAAGCCCAGGGCTTGGCGACCACCCTGTGTCCTTGTCTGTATTGAGTACATCCAGTAGCCTCAATTTCCATCCAGGTTCTTTTGATCAACTCCACAGTAGCAGATTTTCCCAGACAAGTGACTCATATTCTTGACATTTATGTCCTGTGATTATTACCAAATATGATGATGTAGTAATTCTATGCCTATTTGGTAACACTTTAAGCATCCAGAGAACAGAGACCATTTTTGACTCCCACCCATACACTGTAGTGGGGTATGATGCCAGAAATTGGTCAGCATGGGTGATTTGTTAAAGTAACTATACTTATCTAGAAAAATATATGCCCATTTCTGTCCTTCTAGAGACATCACAGTAGACATCTGCTTTTCATGCCTACTGCCCCACCTACAGTTTAGACCTTTTTCTGCTCTGGGCTGCACTGCCACCATAGATTCAGCGGGTAAGTTTAATTTATCTTCATGATGAAGTTACTTACTCCTACCACCCTCGCGCCCCTCGGCCCACATACCAAAGACATCAGCTCTATTCAGTGCCCAGGTTAAATCTTGGTTGCTGCTCTACCCTTACTGAATGAAGTTCAGATTCCTCAGCAAGCCACTCAAAGTCCCTGACGCGGCCTTGTGCCTGGCACCTGGGCTCACCCAGTGCCCCTCTGGAGGGGTCTTCTCTGCACCTCTTGTGGCTTTCTCCCCCAACCCAGTACTTTCCCAGCATCCTCCCCTACATCCTCCAAGGCCTAGCTCAACTGCCACCTCCTCAGTTACTGCTTGTCTCACGTGCCTCGCTCCCAGACAGAACCAATCGCCTCTTTCTCCTCCATAGAAGCTGCATGGCCTCTGGATTTAGCACTTATGTAGATGGCCTCATATTCTGGCTAGCTTTCCTCACCTCTCTTCCACTAAGTTTAGAAACAGTATCTCAACCTTCTAGGATGCCACCAAGACCTCGCTGGTGGCCTTTCCCTCCTCTGACCACACACTAAGAATTTAACTCCACCCAGGACACGGATCTTAAGTGATCCCTGGAGCCCCTAAGGGATGCAGACTGCTTTCTAGGCCCTTGTGTAAGAGCGCAAGTGGACAGCACCTGGGAAACCAAGGCATCATTTCATTTCCCCACCCCGCCGCTGTGAGGAGCTGAACCAGGGCCTCTCACAATCCAAGCGAGTACTCTGCCACTGAGCCACACATCCCCACCTTCTTTTCAGTTTTCTGCGCTAGGTTTAAGTTGCCTAGGCTAGACATGGAAGTTTCAATCTTCCTGAGTAGCTTCAAGTACAGGCACGTACCATGGCAAAAACAACTGTTTGTGGTCCAAAAATGTGTACAATTCTTCCCCTATAAATACTCACAGATGTGATTTTATAGTTTCACTCCATACTAGGTTAGCTCTATGTCCTCTGACCCCAACTGTTCTGATTAGTTGTTATTCATTCTCTCTCATTTAAAATGTAAACTATACTTTAAGAAAAAATCGCTGATTTCCTCTAGCTTAGTTGTACAACTTAAAAAGTTTTTGATCCTGCCCCCCCCACAGGTGTGGTGGCACAGGCTCTAATCTTGGGAGGCTGATGCAGAGGACCCCAAATTTCCAGGCCAGCCTAGGCTACATAGTAAGTTCAAGGCCAGCCTGGACAGACACAGTAGTCCTACCTGAAATAAAACTTTAAAAAGGCAGTTCTTCTTTAAAAATAAATTCAGAATTTAACAGACCTCTATTAACTCTTATTAAATGTTATGCTTACATCCAAACAGAAAAGATGCCACACTACTCAAAGCCAATCATGTACCTACTCTGGGATAAATAGCTAAAGGCAAAAAATGCTTCTAAATTGAATGTGAGAAAAAGAAGGGAATAGTAAAAAA